GAAAAATGCCACAGCAGTTTCGAACAGATCCCTGATCCACAAGTCACCCATCATCCCGAGTTTCAAGGGAGTGCGTTGAGATCTGAAGCACTTCCGAGCCTATATTTCATCGGTTCACACGTTATGATTAAGCGACAATGTTTGAAAAAATTTGACATGTCTACGAATTTTCATTGCCCTGCACTTCAATGGGATCTTATTCAGAATCCACGTACAGTTTTAGCAAGCGAGTTTCCATCATCGGAGGAGAATGCTGGACGAAAAGAAAAGTGAAAAACCATCTAATTTTTCATACTACTGTAACTAAATTTTAAAGAAGAATCAGCGAAATCAACGCTCGAAGAAGCGAAGCACGGATGGTAAGATGAAATCATATTCACTCGGCACTGAGTTATCTCTAACCGTTCATTTTCGCACTCACTGGAAGAATTTTGTGAGGTCAACCTAAAATCGCGCATCTTCCGTCAATGTTGTAAATATGAAAACAACGTCTTCTCAGTTGGTCGGGCATTACAGAGAAAAATTTATATCTCGAAAAAGTTCGATGAGATATTTTCACGTCAGTATTTGGTGACTATACAGTATCTTATTCCTGAACAGCTCACAATCCAATTTCCGATCAAACAATGCCGCATCACCAACCTCATCTGCACTGTAAACCTTCGTGGAACAACGAGAAGAGGTCCATTGGAACCCACTTCCCCCACCATCACTAAGCGATGAACGTAAATATCCGGAACGCAAGAGCCAATCACAGGTATCCAAACCACCGTCCAAAATCAAGAAATTGATTTCGTTCGCCACAGCCAAGAACACGAGGAGCTTGCAAAATGGCACCACTGTGAGCCATGTCTTCTTGGCGAATTGCATAGGGAATCGAGGCATGCCGATCAAAATACACCGAAGGGAAGCCGTGGGATATGAAATCTTTCATCGACTACCCCCAGGAATATGTTTTCTGAACGGAATCACTATTTTTCTTCCGCTAGAGGAAGAAAGGCGGGCAGAGTATTTGTTTACTCTCCCACGCTGACGTCCGGCCGCTCTGAGTTTGCACGAGGAGCTCTGATCATCAGCCATCGCTATGGGGCATGTTCACAAAATAGAGATCGCTATTCGTGCTCTTGCTTCTTCTTTATGCATTGAGATCAATCATACACGCAATAATAAGATTTCTTCGCGGTATTCCTATTTAAAAGCTGTTGAAAGGATGTGGATTCTTATGCGAAGTTCTGAATAATTCGACATCATGGTTTCTGCCAGAATGGCAATAAAAAGCGTGCATTTTTCAGAACCAGATGCGAACTTCAACAATGCCAACAGACTCAAGATCGTTGAAATCACTTGCGAGAATTCCGAGGGCTTTGAGTATTTCACTTTTCATGGGACAGTATTTCACCTGCAAAATTTAATTCGATTTAAAAATAGAACAGAAAAAAAAGAGGAAACTAACTCTTTTTTTTAAACAAGTGATCTCGGCAAGTGTCCATCGCATCAAGGACTATTTCCATTAAAAAAAAGGGAAGAAACACGTCCCATGAAGAGCAAAATACTGCGCCCAGTTATTTTTCCATCTTTTCCACAGGCTTCACTTGTTCTTCTTTTTCTTCTTCTTCTTCTTGGGGATTTCATCAGAAGACGACGGAGACCGTTTCCGCTTTTCCGCGATACTCGATCCGTCTTCCGGCTTCTCATCCTCACTTCCGTCATCATTGGACGAGTCGTCGGATCCGGAAGAATCCGACGTCGGCGGCCCCGAAGACGACTCATCACTCGACACCATCTTCTTCCGCTTCTTTTTCTTCCTCGACGTTCCGTCCCGAGTCTTGTGCTTCTTGGCGTGACGACGATGAGTCTTCTTCTTCGACTTGCCGCGTTTCGCCTTTTTCCGACGCTTCGACACGGTTCTAGAGTCGTCACTGTGGCCGCCGTCGTCGTCGTCAGAGGCGTCGCTGGGGTCGTCCTCGTAGTCCGGCTTGAATTCCGCCTCTTCGACAGACGCCCTCTTGATTTCCTCGGTCCCCGAGTCTTCCTTAGACTTCACCTTCGGACGCTTTTTCTTGCCTCTTTCCTTCTCCTTCTTTTTCTTCTTCTTCTTGTCTTTGTCTCGTTTGCGTTCCGGCGACGAAGACGACGATGCGGAGTCCCGTTTGTTGCGACGACGGATTGAGGCGGCCGCGGCAGCGCCGCCGTCTTCTGCTTCGTCGTCGTCGCCGTTTCCGGCGATCTTGTTCAAAACGACGGCCGGAGATTTCGGCGATTTCTCTCTGACCTTATTGTCGACGGGCAGTTGTTTTTGTTCCAATTTCGTCGAGGAGTCTTGCTTTTGCAGGACCATCACTCGACGCGTGGGTTTCCGTGTTCCCGTCGGGTCAATTTCCGCTTTCATCACGAGCGAAGACAATTCTGCAACAAAATTAATTCAGGAGGAAAAATAATCATCACGCATTCTTGTTAAATGATTTTTTTATATTTAATTTAAATTCGAAGGTTTTTACGACAGTACTGTATATTGGGTAAAAAAAATTCTGGGTCTAAAAATTGGGAAACCAAAAAAATTTCAATGGAAAGATCATCCGGGTTTTCAATACTTTGCGAGGAATTTTTTTTTTTTAATGCAAAACTGGCATTTTTCTTTTGGGGGTTAAAAACTTTTTAAAATTTGATTAAAATCCAAAAGGTATTTTCAACACTGGATAAAAAAAATTCCGAGTCCAAACATCAGAACATGAAAATTTTCATGTTTCATTATATATTTTTTCTTTTCAAAGCTGACAACTGGCTTTTACTATATTGGGTAACCAATTCTGGGTCTAGAGACTCTGGGTTTAGGGACATGAAAAAATTTGGAAAGGAGAAGATTTTCATCTGTTTTAATGATTCGCAAAGAACTTTTTTTCATGCAAAACTGAACCTGTCTGTTAGGCTAAATATTTTTGGAAAATTTGATTCAAATCCAGTTGTTTTCACTAATAGGGTAAGAATTTTTGGGTCCGCAAATCGGCACACGAAAAAATTTGGAATGGAAAAGATTACCCAAGTTTTCAATGATTCGCGCGGAATTTATTTATTTTTCAATGCAAAAATGACCTTTTGGAGCAAATATTTTTCTAAAAGTTGATTCAAATCCAAAGGTTTATACAGTATTACATTGGGTAAGAAAATGTAGGTCCACAAATTGAAACAAGAACATTTTTGGAATGTACAGAGTTATCGGAGTCTTAAATGAATTTTTTTCATTTTGTTCCGTTTCAGTGCAAAACTGACCCTGTCTTTTGGGCGCCTCGATTCTTTCGCGAACCCCAGCATCTTTCTTGACTTCTTGGACCATCTTTTCTTTCGGCTCCTCTTCTTTGGCTCTTCCAACCGACGGCGACGCGTCCTTCACCAGCGCAGTCGTCCGATCCTTGGATTCTTCCAACGCAACTTTCCCCGAAACATCCTTTTCAACACTCGTCTCCTTCTTCTCCGCCGCCTTTTCCCGACGCGACTTCCGCTGTTCCTTCTCTCGGTCACCACTGTGTTCTCTTCTGGCTCTCCGACCGTCTTTCGGCGCCGCTGGAGTTTCAGTACGCGATTCAACCAACGGCGGCGGCGGCTGCTGCTGCTGCTCTTCGCCTCTCTTCGAAGGCGGCGATCGGGATTTAGAACGACCTCGTGGGGTTTCCTCTTCGCGTTTCCGCTCGGGCGACGCGAGTTCCGCCCCGGGCTCTCGTTTCGCCGAGTCGCCGTGCCGCCTTTCTGCGGAGTCGCCTCGGCGCCTCTCGGAAGTGTATCGGGATTTGCTCGTAGAACGACGGGGTCTCGAACGGCTCCTGCTTCTCGAACGGGATCTTTTCCGCTGTGACGATAGGAAAAAAAAGACAATATAGTAGAACAGTGTAGGCTCTCTCTACAACGATTTTCTCTGCATAACGATTTTTTTCGTGATCACAAGGGGTTCTACAGTAGTCTAACCGTTACAAAAGATTTTTTACAACGAAAGTCTATCTGCAACGATTTTTTCTGGTCGCCCGAATCACTTCGTGGATTGCACCTGTACAACGAATCTTGCTGAAACGAAAAATCGCTTACAACGACGTTGTTTTTTTCAAGGTCCCTGTCCAATATCCACAATGTTCGATGAGTCACTGTTTAACGAATTTTATACTACAAGAAAGATACTGTACAGTATTTCACTTTTCCCAATAATTTCGTTGTGATGAGAATTTTTTAAAGACGAATATCAGAAGATTAGTTCTGCACTGCCGTCGATTTTTTTAATAACTTTAAATACATGTAATAAAAACAACAATTAAAATTCCAAGTCCTTCGAATTTTCAAAGAAATATTCGATGGAATTTCTTCCCCAGTTGATTTTGACTGCAACACATGAAGTAGTAAAGCATTCAACAACGTAAAATCCGAATTTTTTATTTGCATTGCGTAGAACGGGTTGAGAAGTTCTACAGAGATCCCCCACTCGGGAGGATCTGACAAGGATAGGGATCTCCACAGCTCTTCTACGGAAACTGAAATATATGATACAAATTACGAACAAAATTATACCAGAGAAAGGCTCACCTTTTCAGAGGGTTCACGCCGATCCCGATCCTTCTCCCGCTTGTCCCGATCTCGCCGACTCCGGTCTCTCTCCCGATCCCTGTCTCTCTCCCTGTCCCGCTCTCGACCTCTTTCCCGATCTCTATCCGGATGTTCCCGTTCGCGTTCTCGGTCCCTGTCTCGATCCCTATCCGACTCCCTCTCACGTCGGTCTCTGTCCCGATCGAAACGCTCCCTGGCCCGATCCCGCTCTTCTGGTCTCCGGCGCTCGAAGAGCTCGCTGTCCCGTCTTTCCATGCCGCCTCGAGATCGGGACCTTCAAAAGAAAAAAATAAAATGAAATTTCGTCTTCATCAAGTTGCCTTAAAACATCGTAAACGGCAACTAGAAAAAAAAA